ACTTCTGGTGGGACTGGACATGTTCAAATCAGCTGGTCCTGACGATCTCCACCCCAGAGTGCTGAGGGAATTAGCAGAGGTCATTGCAGAACTCCTGGCACAACTTTACGAGCACTTGTGGGCTCTGGTGAGGTGGAACTAACTGGCTAAGCAGCAGCTCTGTAGAAAAGGACCTGAACAATATTCTAAATGTGAGCCTACAGTGTGCCCTTGTTGCAAAGAAAACTAACAGCTTACTGGGCTGCATTAGTAGAAACGTAACCAGGAAATCAAGGAAAGTGATTATTCCCCTCTATTCAGCACTGGTGAAGCCACATCAGGAGTACTTTGTCCAGTGTTTGGCTCCCTACTCCAGAAAGGATGTGGACAAATTGGAGAGAGTCCGGTGAAGGGCAACAAAAATGGTTGGGGCCTGGGGCACAACTTAGGAGGAGAGGCTGAGAGAACTGGGTTTATGTAGTCTGAACAAGAGAAGACTGAGGGGATTTAATAGCAGCCCTCAGGTACCTGAAAGGTGGTTCCAGAGAGGATGGAGCTAGACTGTTCTCAATGGTGGCAGGTGACAGAACAAGGAGCAATAGTCTCAAGCTGCAGCAAGGAAAAAATTAAGTAAAATATTAGGAAAATGTTTTTACTAGGAGGGTAGTAAAGCACCTGAACAGGCTACCCAAAGTGGTTGTGGACTCTCCATCCATGACGTTTTTTAAGACCCAGCTTGACAAAGTTTTGGCTGGGATGATCTAGTTGGGGATGGTCCTGCTTTGAGCAGGGTGTTGGACTAGATGACCTTCTGAGGTCCCTTCCAACCCTCTAAGATTCCATATTCTAATAACTACAAACAGGTAAGTATTCCTTTATTGATTCACAGAAAATTACCCCTAAACTGAGGTCTGCTTCCTGTGCTGGAGAGCTTCTCTTGCAAGAGATTTTATTCTCTTGGTCTGATGGAGGAGGGTCTGAGACCCAAGCAGAGTCTTCTCCCCATTAAGTCAAAATGGGTGAATGAAGAGCGATGCAGGCAGTGGGATCCTCCAGGGCTCAATCCTCGGGCCCGCACTGTTCAACATCTTCATCAGCGACTTTGACGAGGGGGTGAAAAGCACCTTGTTCAAATTCGCAGATGACACTAAGATGTGGGGAGAAGTGGGCATGCTAGACAGGAGGGACCAGTTGCAATTGGATCTGGACAGGTTACAGGGGTGGGTGGATGAGAATAAGATGTGATTCAATACCGACAAGTGCAGGGTACTGCACCTAGGGAGAAAGAACCAGCAGCATACCTACAGGCTGGGGAACTCCCTTCTCATCAGCACAAAGGCAGAAAAGGATCTTGGAGTCATTATAGACTCCAAGATGAGCGTGGGCTGCCAATATGGGGACGCAGTCAGGAAGGCTAACCACACCGTGTCATGCATCCACAGATGCATCACGAGCAGGTCCAAGGAGGTGATCCTCCCCCTCTATATGACATTGGTCAGGCCACAGTTGGAGTACTGCATCCAGTTCTGGGCACCACACTTCAGGAGGGATGTGGACAACATCAAGAGGGTCCAGAGGAGGGCCACTGTCATGATCAGGGGGCAGCAGGGCAGGCCCTATGAGGAGAGGCTACAAGACCTGAACCTGTTCAGCCTCCACAAGAGAAGGTTGAGCGGGGATCTGGTGGCTGTCTATAAAATGGCCAAGGGAGACCAGCAGGCAATGGGAGAGTCCCTGTTCCCCCAAGCACTACTGGGAGTAACAAGGAATAATGGCCATGAGTTGATGGAGAGTAGATTCAGGCTAGATATAAGGAGGCGCTGCTTCCCAGTCAGGGTGGCTAGGATCTGGAACCAACTTCCAAGGGAAGTGGTGCTGGCTCCTACCCTGGGGGTCTTTAAAAAGAAAGACACCTTGCCGGGGTTGTTTGACCCCAGCATTCTTTCCTGCCCATTGCAGGGGGGCAGGGACTTGATGATCTGCGCAGGTCCCTTCCGACCCTACCAACTATGAAACTATGAAACCATGAAACTATTACTGTAGAGGTAGTGTAAACATACCCTAAGAGACTTAGAAGCTTGTGCAGACTTAAAGTGTCATCTGCCTTAAAGAAATAAGGGAACTTTGAATTGTTAGGACAAGCTTTTGGGTAGGGGGATGGGATTTAGCAAATTTGGAAAGTTGTCTTTTTTGGTGGTGATTATGGCTGCAAAGAAAATGACAGACTGAGAGTACTATGTTTTTTCACATACTCCGTGCCCTCAAATAAAATGTACACCTTGTTTTTGGAAGGCAGAATTTAGAAAAAAAGATTTTTTTCAGTCACAGTGAACTGTATGAGATCTATATATCCAGGAAGTGCAGCATCTCAGGGGACAGCGTGAGACAGCATGAACTTCCTGGTGTGGCAGGACAGCAAAAACTAGGACCCAAACCCTTGTGAGGAAAGTAGAAAGACTGTTACTTTTTTACTGTAAATAGGTCTTTCTTGTGATTTGAAAACAACTTTATTATTTACAGGAATATTTTACAGGAATTATTTACAGGAATAAACATACTCATCAAGATACTACAGACTACATGTAGCAGCTCACTTGCCTGAACCAGCTCAACTGCTGCTTCAGGCACAAATTACAGTGCTCAGCAAATAGCTACTGCAAATTCCTTAGCAGCCGTGAGAGGGTTAACACAGGAGTCCACCCTTTCTACTTACTGGACTATAAAGAAGTAGCATCCATATTGGCAGACACTAGAAGACAGCATCTCCATGGTTTTATTTCTCCATGCTTCTATTCCAGGGAAAAAAGTCAGCTTCCCCAGTTAGACATGCACGCCAATTTTGGAGGCCTGATTTTTTGGGGGAAAGTGCATGTGGTTGACAAATAAATATGGAATAGCTGTCATACTCATCTATTAACATTTTAGTAATAACAGAATAGCAGCACCTATGATTAATTGATTCTTCCTGGCTGTTCTGGAAAACATGCAATAAAAATAAATAAATAAAAGCTCTTGGGGTAGTCCATGGAAAATCCAGGCACAATTGCATTCTGGCCTTTGTCCCAGATGGGATTGAGATTGGAGGTGGGGGCTGGGGAGGGAGAGGAGTGGAGGAAAAGTCTCAGAAACAAAGGGTTTACAATACCATAGGTCCAGAAGCCAAGCTGGGGTTACAGTACCAGGCATCAGTCTAAATCCAGTGTCATATGCCAGGGGAATCAAGTGAGTCTATGGTCAAGACAGGCCAAAGGTCAGGAGCTAAGGAACCCAATATGCAAAATGAGGTCAGCAGTATCGGTGGGATAGGATTAAAGCACAGGCAGGGCAGAGATGAGATACAAGTAGGAGTTCAGAGTTCTCAGCAGTCCAGGACAGGAGTGGGAATACCAGAGCTGGGCACAGAAGAGATACTAGAAGTATTCTTGCAGGAACAAAGGAAGTGGGAGGGTTTTATAGCCCTCCCATCAGGGCCTTGAGGCTCCCATTGGTTCCTCTAGGTCACGTGACCCCCCCACTGAGAGCCTCAAGGGAGTGGCCGGGGAGCTAGCCAGCCGGCCAGCCAGCCAGTTGTTTGGTGGTGCTGCAGCCTAGGCCTTTGCCTAGGAGCCAGAAGACCTAGGTTTGAATCCCAGGGGTCCTGGGAGTCTTTCTACAAAGTGGATACACAGTGTCCTGAAAGGGACAGAGAAGTGAGTTATGACCCCCACCTGATATCCATAATAAAGCTGGCTTACAGGTATGTGGCTGTATGCCACAACAGATTGTATTGTCATACATCCTCTGCCCATGGGCTGGACTGTTCTCCCTGGAGTAATGTTGTGTTGCATTGTGGAGTATGTTGGCTGTGAATTTAGGACCCAGAGGCCTTGTTCCACTGGGGAGCCATCCTCAGACCGACCACAACCTTTCCATTTGATAATAGGCAAATATATTGATATACAGCGATAACAGAAAAGAAGCAATACAAATAATCAAGCAAGTCTATATATCTACCAAATTTTAGGGCTATCATCAGAGTCAAAGTAAACTGGCCAGGACACAGTCTTCACTCTGAGGCGCTCTCATAGGTGTCAGATGTCAGCAGTCTGGAGGGGGGATACCAAGGCCCACAACTCCCTCCAGTGGGGTGGATGAGATGGGCTGGTTGTGTGCCCTTTGTCCATGGTGGCCTCGGAGACCCTTCCCTGGGGACGGAGGAGGGATTGGAAGGAATGAGGAGGGATGAGGGAGGGACCTTTTGTTACTCTCAAGTCTCTGTTTTTGTATTCTCCTTCCCTCCTGATTACTCTTGATCCGTGTCTACCTCTGGTTGGTCCCTCTGTGTGGTTGTCATACATCCATATAGCTTATCACATGCACGCATACTAATTTGGTCCTTCCGGGCCTTCTTCTAATTTGGTCTGTTCCCCCAAACCTGGGACTTAGCCCACCCTCACCCTGCTTTGGGGCCTTGTTAGCTGGTGCCACTTTTATCTCATGTTATGGAACAGTATGGTATATACTCCCTCTGTTCCCAAGCTGATTTCCAGACTGTGTGTCCTTGTTGGCCTTGCTGTATTAGACAGCCTGTCTGCTTCCAAGGCTGGAGAAACTGTGTAACTGTGTGACCCAGACTCTTAGAAATCAATCAACCCCTGCTGCCTATCCTGAACCATACTAATGCATATATTTATACCTCTAAGCCAATTCCCACAAAATAAACCTTTAAATACCATTTCTAAGCCAACAAAGTATGGCTAACACAATCTAGCTCTAAGTTTGTAGAAATGAGTATTATGATAGTACTATCACATATATTTCTTATTGTCTTCTCTAAATATTTTGCTTTGAGATAAATAAAACAAAACATCCTATTAGATTGTCTCAACCTAAAGATGAGGAAAAGAACATCAGCACTGTTCAAGCTGAAGTGAAGTTATTTAGGATCAAATTTATTATTTTGATTTTAAATGAAAGCCTTAATAACAGCCTGTGTTGAAAACCAATGATTTTTGAGTTTTATTCTTTTGTACATCTCGCAGATAAATTTGGTCAGCGAGCATATGTTGGCAAAGTTTGCATGGATATTAATAACGCTGTTCCAGAATACAAGGAAACCACTGATGATTCTGTCAAGGACACAGAAAGGTAAAATGATTATACTGATAGCATCATTTTGAGAAATTAGGCATCCTATTTTTTAATGTGAAATGGAGTCAGACAAGTTAAGGCTTAACATACACTTTATTCAATTGAAAATAGACCAAATTTCCTCTCTCATCAATTATTCTTCAGAATAATGATACTTACTTCAGTGGAATTATCCCTAATTTACAGTTGGGCAAATGGATGAATATTAACTCCACATACTGTGTATATACATATACTTTCAATGAGTCCTCTGACAAAAAACTGTAGGTTTAACATCAAGGTTATGACATTGTACTGAATTAGATGGGGTCATTTGGAAGCCATATTCTGATAATTCACAAGCACGCACATAATTTGGCTTTTAAGAATAGTCACACACATATTTGGGTGTTTGCAGAATCAGGGCATAAAGAGACAATCTGATAACACACTGCACAGTGGTATTAACATCCTATGGCATGAAGGTGGAATTGCTACATTATTTTGCAGGCCATGCTGAGTAAAATACCAGTAAAACCTATTTATTGCTACAGATCATCAGGGATTTTAAATGACATATATTTAAAGAAATGTTATTTTTAACATTAGTAACTATGATCATTTTTATTTCCCTTTGCTTGTGATCCTAGGTTTCCTTAATACTACCACTTCTTAGAGTGACAGAGCCTTTAGTTCTAGTATGATTTAAGCATTTCAAAATGCCCTAAAATAGATTTTCTGTAGTGCCCCATGGTGTGTCTGAGATCCAATACCTTGTGATGACATTAATAATGAATGCTCTACAGCTTTGAAGACAGGCGTTTCAGATCTCTTGGATACAAGACGTATGTCCTGCTGGGAAAGTTTGTCTCTGTGATGCCTGATGCCTAGCTACCTGCCGTAGGAGATATTCTACTTTTTTGGTGAAGAAGGACACATTTCTTTGGCAGGTTCACTTATGATTTTTTAAATGGCTGCTACCTGACAGTTGCTCAGGGTCTTGGACTATTGTAAGGGATCCTGGCAGAGGTGAATTAGGGCCAGCGTGCAGGTGAGGAAGTCAAATGATTCACATTAATTCCCAGACAAGGTTTTTTACCCATTTAATATGAGGTGAAAAGCTCTTCATCTTGGAATCAAGTATGAGGCGGGTGGGGGTGGGGGGCACACATCTGCTCTGGCTCTGGCCTAGGGTTGGGACTGGAGCTACAGCTGCTGCCTGCACCTGACTTTTCTCCCCACCTGCAATCTAGAAACCCCCATTCCCCCTGCTGCTTATCCTTGCTCCAGTGCTTTGGGCTACATCCCTGTTCCAGCCTGGGACATGGAACACATGCTTGCTCCATCCCAAGCTCATCCAAGGAGCAGCAGCTGTGATATGGCAACTCTGACCCTAGCAGAGGTTGTGGGGAGGGAAAGATGGGGGGGAAGAAGGTGGAGGGCTCAGGGCAAGTGGTGTGGGGTACAGGTGGCAGAGGGAAAGGTGCAGGGGGGCAAGGGTCAAGAATATGATCCCTCTACCACCTGTCTCCCACTGCCGACCTCCCCACTATCCCGCCACCACCTTCCCCCCACTGCCTGCCCCCCTACCACTTCCCGACACCTACCCCCCCACCGCTTTCCCCAGTGCTGCAGATGACCCCCCATAACTAGATTCTATACATGGAAAATTATTGCTGGGGGCATCTTAAATTTGGGATCATCTTGGATTTGGGTAAATACGGTAAATATACCATATACATAGGGTGATATCCCCCAGTATAAAATTTATTTACATATATAAAATATGTTATGTCACTGAAATCATTTCACTTTCACCTAATATGAGAAGGGAAAAGAATAGATGGACATGGGAAGATCAGAAGTTGAAAGGGAACAATTTCATTTAAACTGGATACTAGGTGACACCCACTTAGTTTTATTCTGAATCCCTGCATTCTCCGTGGTTGGCATAAAACTATAGCCCTACTGAGTATCCACCATGTAGGGCTGGATAAGGATTCCTCCCTCCCCACACCTTTTCCACCTGTTGGTTCCCCCCAGGACCAGGACTGTGCAATAATCAATTTTTTGGCTCAACTATTGAACCAAAAGGTCAAGAAACAAATAATCCAGATCGAACCAAAGTAATCTTCATCTATTTGTTTTCATCACCAAAACCTAAACTTGTCATGTCGTGTTGAATACAATATTCCATTAGACATGAAACAAAATGTCTTATTTTGGATACACATAAAAAAGCAAATGTAAATCAAGGCTGAATTCACAAAACAGGAGAAGTGTATCTTTTTTCACAATATGCTAGTGGTTAGGTCACATACCCAAGATGAAGGGCCCAAATTTAATTTAAGTTCTTAAGCTTTCACTGGAATAAGTACTGGAATGATCCCCAGGGGCGTGTCCACACATGCAAGCACATGAGCTTGCAGCAGCTCAAATAGAAGCACTGAAAATTTGAGCTGGGGCTTTTTGCCTCAGCACATGTGCCCAGACATGCACATGTGCTCTCAGGAGCTTCTGGGGCCCAGCCAGTTGGTGCCTGAGGACAGTACCCATTATGCCAGCTGGACTGCTGAAGCAGCCCTGAGGGTTCCCTGCAGCCTCTACCCACTGCAGCAGTCTGGCAGTGGGGGCTGCTGCCTGGCTGTGACCTGCTGCACACCTGTAGACCCAGATGGGGATTGCACAGCCAGTAGAGACATCTGCCCCTCTGGGCCAGCTGCCAGTGGGCTGTTGGTGCAGAGTTGGCTTTTGTGGTACTACTGCCATGTATGCCCTCTGCCCAGCAATTTTCCCTCTAAGGAGTAGCGGTCCGTGAGCGTGCCACTTCAGTCCTGCCTCCCCTTTTTGGTGTGGTCCGCTGGTAAGTGTCCCACAGTAAGTGTCCAGGTGGGAATGGGCAGGGTTCGGCCACCACCCTTCTCCATGCTAACTGCTGCCCCGAGCAGTGTAGTAGAGTGCTGTGGGGCAGCCATGGCCCAGACACAATCAATTGATAGAACTGAAAGGAGGCACCGGAGCTGGCATGGGACACTTACTGAAGGTAAGTTCCTCGCTTCTCAACACAGGGAAGGCAGCAGCTCCATCCCGAGGTGAGGCAAGGCAGGGATGGGGGCTGGGGACTGGCACAGGCTCTGCCAGCTCCGGGGAACTGCTCTACTCCCCAGCCCTAACACCATGTGCCTCCTTGCTCCCCGAGGTGATGCAGGGATGCGGAGAAGTTCCCTGGAGCCAGCAAAGCCCATGCCAGGCCCCAGCCCCAGCCCCTGTTCCTGTCTTGCCCCACCTTGGGGAGATGCCACTGCCTGCCTTGCATGAGGAGTGAGGAGCTTACCTTCGGTAAGTGTCCCACGCCAGCCCCGCTGCCTCCATCACACTCCACGCCCAGCTCCTCTCTGGGAAGCTGCAGCCCAGCTCTTCTCCAGGCGGGTGCACGGCATTAAAAAGTTAGTGTGCAGAAAGATTTTTTATTGTGTGCGGCCGCGCACGCGTGCAGCTTAGAGGGAACCTTGCTGCCCAGCCATCAGGGCAGCTATCGCCCGGAAGATGTTCTCAGTGTGGTGGCCTACTTTGAACTGTCAAAGCATGTCCTCCCAGCCCCAATTGGCCAGGAGGTCAGCCACCTCCAGCTGGGTACAAGGTGCCAGCCCTGAGCAGGCTCTTCTGCCTGGATCTTGCCACTAGCCTCCCTAGCAGGAATTCTGGTGTTCCCTATTTGAACACTGAGAAATCCCTGATAAAAACAAAAAATCCCCAAATCACTCTGTAAAATACCCCAACATCCATGTTCCTCCACAGGAAAAGAAAGGCCACTATATATAGAGATAGAGCGAGTGAGAGACAGAGAGGCAGTGATCAGTTGGGCAATGTTTTATTAATATATCTACAGTGCTAAAGCAATTTGGAAGCTTACCAGTGTCTTTATCATCATAATAAAATGGATTCTAAATACCTATATGTTTTGCTGTTTGCCTTTGGTTTTCTTACCATAGAGAAGTTAGAACTCCCTGTGACCCCTTCACTAACCAGGATGTGGGGACAGCCGCCCCTGCAGCCACAGCTCCTGCCAACAGGTCTCATCCTGTCTGGTACCTGGGCACACAGGGTATGTGCTGCGGGGAGGTTTCCAGGAAGGAGGTGGGAAGGGGCATTGGGGGATGTGGGTGGCTGTGGGGGGATATGGGGGGCTATGAGGTGTGTGGGTAGGTGTGGGTGGATTGTGGAGGGACTGTGGGGAGAGGGTGCTCAGGAGGGGTGGATCCCCTGCCCCTTGCAGGGTGAAGCCCCCCTGCACAGCTCACAGACTGCCCCCCACAGGGGCCACATCCCCCCCAACAGGGGTTACAGCCCCCCAGCAGGGTCCACATGTCCCACCCCCATGTGGTCCCCCAGCCCCCTGGATTGCTGCCCCACCTGGCACCAGCCTCCTGCCACTTTAAAAAGTAAAGAAAAAAAAATCCTCATACACCCTGGCAGTAGCAGGGGTTGTGGGGGCTCCGGGGCCTTGTGGCAGAGTCCCCCCGTGTAGCATGGGGCGGGGGGGGCAGCAGAGCCTGGGCCTGGCCACCTGGCACCTGACCTGCTACTGTCCCTTTGGGTGGGTGCGGCTAGGGTTAGCTGGAGCCACTGCGGCTGTCATCTGGGCCCTGTGCTGCATGTGGAGGGGGCTCTGCCATGAAGCCCCAGTAACCCTGACAGCAGCTCCTACTGCCGGTGAGCTCGGGCTTTTTTTTTTTTTAATTGCAGGGATGCTGGGGCCAGGCAGGGCAGTGATTGGAGGGCTCAGGGGGCCAGTCAGGGGATGGGTCCAGGCGGGGCAGCCATCAGGGGACGGGGGCTGAGGGAGTGGGCATGGCCGGTGGGAGTTCCCCAATGGTCTCCTACCCCCTCCTCTAGCCCCCCTACCCCTTACTTACTGGCAGGAGCCCAGGTCCAGCTTCCTGTGGCTGGCACACTGCCTGCCCCACACGGGCAGGCAGTGTGCTTCAGCACTGGGGTGAGGGGCAACCATAGAGATGCTCTGGCTGGCTACCACAGCATCTCTGTGGAGGACCCAGCCTCTGGTTGCCTCAGGGCACTATCTGGGACTGTGCCCTGCCCCGCTTTTTCACCTGCGGTACCCACGGATATCCAGGGATCTAATTTTGCCTGCGTGCTGCAAATTTGCAGCATGGGGAACGTTTTTTCGTTCCTGTACATGCCTCTTGCAGCATCTGAAAGCCCTTTGAGATGCTGCAAGGAGGCACATGTGTGCTTGTCTGGATGTGCCCCATGTTTCCCTCTTCCAGGAGGTATCTTAGGGTGCCTATACATGTGCTTGGAAGTGGGAAGGAGTTTTAATTACAGCAGTTTCTGAATAGTTGTTCTAATTAAAATGCCACAGTGTCATGTGTATTAAGCCCCTGCACATTTAAAAATGGCTGTGGGATGCTTTATCTAAACCTCATTTGATAATGTTTAGTTAAAGTGCCCCATGGACATTTTTAAATGCTCAAGAGCTTAATACATGTGATGCTGTGGTGACGCTGCAGCATCCTAATTAGAGCATGGAGCAGACTTGATTAATCAAGAATTAATTGGAATATGTTAATTAGAATGCACTGGAACATGCGCATAGGCAGCCTTACTGGTCAAGCTAGGGAGTCAAGCTGTAGGAGTTCCAGCTCAGAGTACTCTATAGCCTGCTGGTTAGGATGCTCAGCTGCGAGACCAGGGACAAGAGATCCAATAATGTTAATCTTGGTATAATTTTGAGGGATGAATTCTGGTTTACCTCTAGTATCCATATTTGATTGTTTAAAGTATATTCATAGAATCCAATCCTTTGTGCTTTATGCTTCTGTTTTGAATGGAGCAAGAAAATGCACTTTGCATTTTCAATAGAGTAAATTGTCTATACTCTAAACACCTAAATATTCCTTGGAAAAATCAAAGGCATTTTAAGTGAATGAAGAATAGAGTTCTATAACTTTAATTCTCAACATGTAAAACCACTGTAAATGAAGCATAACATATCGCAGCATTTTAAAAATAGACCTTTAAATAATAGAATCAATGCTGTGTTTTAAATTCATGTACAGCCAAAATTAAGGGTTTTTTATTGTACCGTTGTAGCATGTAATAATGCTTTCAGTTGATTTAATGTAATGTATTTAGTTTCCAATGAGAACAAATAGTAATTACCATGTGTCTGGAGTTAATTATTACTTGTGATAGAACTTCTGCAGATTTAAGGAAAGATTCTTAGCTAGTGAAGTTAATGTAGGTCCACCAACTTGAATGGATCCATGTTGACTGCCTACTGAGAATCTGACCCAGAGATCTTTCAACTCCCCACATAAATCTGATGTTTTCTGAAAGACTTAATAGAATAATAAGGTAAATGTTTTCTCCTATTCTTCTTAAATTATAATAAATATCACTTTTCATACCTTTTTCAGGTTTGTTAAAGAACTTCTTGAAAAGAAAGTAAGTAGGCTTGCATTTTAAAAACATAAGACACATTCTGCATTTTGTACATACATTTTTCCCATGCACTGTATCAAATGGAAAAAAAAGAGTTCTCCCTAGCATGCATTCATTTCTGTAAAAGATTTACCAGTGTATAACCTTGTTAATCCTCTGATAAGTCATTAACTACTGACCTTTCAGGATATTATAAAAAAATAAAAATGTAATGAATTTCCTGTAAAAAGTGATCAAGTGAATTCTGGATCTGGATTTAGGACAACTGGTCTAATATTGGCAAATATTTCTGTATACTGTACCTTCACTACTATTTATTCAGAGCACTGGAGAATAATGTACTTTTAAAAAGTAAACTTTACTTCTTAAAAAGTTAGCCTGCTTCTACGAAGTATGGTTCCCCAGTCTTAGAAATAAATATTTAATCATTTTAATGTTAATAAACTGTAAGGATAAATTTTTGGTTTATTTCAGAAAATAAATGTCTTAATATAACTTCAGAATAATGTCCTTACTCTAGAGTTCATTTAATAAATCCTTTTACATGAATGTTGTGGATCACTTCATTCCTATCCATGAAGGAATTTCCAAAGAAATTCTGGAGATAAATGGCCATTCTATCTTTAGTGGTTTAATTTGTTTGACACTTGTCACATTTTTCAAGAATAGGTGCTTAAAATTAGGTTCTTAAATTCATATTTATTATCTGCATAACTGACCTGATTTTCAAAAGCCGTGAGCACTATGCAAATAAAGAGTAAGCTAAGGAGGCTGCAAGCTAAAATACCACATTCTCTCATAAGCAGCAGGCTTACTTCATCTCTCATTGCTGCTTCCAGTTTAGAAGCTCTGCTTCATGCAGTCCCTTCACAGCATCTGATGAAGTAAGCCTGCTGCTTATGAAAGCTTATCCTATGCTTCTCTTGATTTAGTTAGTCTATAAAGTTGCAAATCTACCCTCCCTTCTGCTTGAGGAAATATTGTCAAGAAAAGATCTTCACAGGTCACTGTAAAATAATTTACAGGGGAAAAAAAATGATGGTCTCTTCCTGTGACAAGGAAAGTCATAATAAACAACAACAGTTACAATGACAACACATATAAATATAATAATAAAAATAGTAATAATATATATGACTGTATAGTGATTTATTCACAGAAGTAAAAGATGATACAGAGCAATACACACCAAAGTTTGTTGCTTTTTTGCTGAGTATTATGTAAGTTTGTGGTTCAGGGTATATTTGCTATGGTGTACAGATGCTTACGTATAATCTAATATATGTCATTTGAATACTTCCAGTATCCAAGGGTACATCCCATAGTGACACCTCGTTTTGGACCTTCCTGCACTGAAGAGTTGCTGTGTTCACTTGGTAACTTAGCGGAAGCTCACGATATCTATGTGCAGGTAAGATTTTGTGACTTCTCCAGTAACTATTTTTAGGGCAAGATAACCCAGAAAGCATGCCATTTTCATAAGGGATCAATATCAAATTATTTGTCTGATAATATCTAGTTCATCAAAGCATGTAACCCACATACTTAACTGTCTTTGAATTTCTCTGAAATGTCAGCTCAGTGCAATATTCAGCACTGGGACCAAGCAGGCTCATCACTGGAACATTGAATGCGTCTACATGAGACTCTTAATGAGCAGTAGACTAATTCTACTGTGCATTAGCATGCCCAGCAAAAACCGTGCTAATATGCTAATAGGCAGTAGTATTGGTCTACTGCTCATTAAGTGTCACATAAAGAGTGTGCGATCACGCTAATGCACAGTATGGTAACCTACTGCAAGTGTATTTAGTACTTGATTATAAAAGTACTAAATTTTAATTCGCAGTAGGCACTGTGCATTAATGAACACGTAGATGTGCCCACTGTGTGCTAGAATAAATGCCTAGTTAGTGCATGAGGGAAGTACATGGGAGACCATACCTAATTGCTATAGGTTAGAGCAGCCTACAGGCTGTTCTAATCCATACCAGGGCTGTCACAAATACAACTGTGTGTGGAGACCTGGAGGGTTACAACCATCTTCCTCATTGCTCCTGCACAAAATAAATCTCAGCAGAGAACAGAATATGAGCCTTTGTATTCAAAGCATCATGTCTGAACCTCATTAACATAGAAGTGCATCTTACTATGTCATTAAGTTGCAGTTTCAAAGTGCCTTTTAAAAGCTACAGCTGTGTTAAAATGGGGAGAGGCTTTTTGGTTACATAATCCTAATCCTAATTACATACTTTATTAGAATTACCCTACTGTGGGGTTATTTAACATTGCATGATGGGGCATTTGGATATATTAGAAATGTATACTCCAGCAGACAGCACATAATAAGTCAGATTCTCAGGTGAAGCTGAGGGAGGAAGGTGTGCTTACTCCATCTGAGGACAATCTTGGGCAACAATTCAGAACTGGTACCTCACCCTTTCAACTCCAGGTCGTAAATGCTGCTTTAACATTTGCCAGTCCCCTATGACATCTGGGGTGTATTATGGTATTTGGGATCAATGTACTGCGATGTCCAGCCACACACCCCAATCTTTTGTCCGATGTAGGAAAAGAGGGTAAACAGAAGCTGGTATGACAGCTTTGTGCTACCTAAGGATCTTTTCTACAGAGTGAGTCTCCAGGTACTGAATTCACAGAATTGCTTTGCAGCAGTGGAATAATCCAAAGTGGGCACATCTACACATTCATTAATGCACTTTTGCTACTGTGCATTAAATTTAGTACCTCTGGGCAATTTTACACATGCAAGTGCTGCAGTGCGAGGTGCTTTGAAAAGCGCCTGGTGCTGCAACGCTTGCAGTTGTATAAGCGGCAAAATGAGCATCAGCACTGAGAAAATGGTGCCAGCGCGCTTTTGAACTAAAACACATGGGAGGGGATTTTTTTCAAAAGCGCACTGCTGCCATTTTCTGCACTCTGACACACATTTTGCCACTTATACAACTGCATGCAGCGCAGTGCAGTTTGCCTCAGCTCACGTGCAGAGCGTACTTGATTAATCGAGTCTGCTCTTAAGTGGTGGATCTCCAGTGCATTGTGGGACAGAAAAGGATGTGTATAAATGCTCTCTAATGTGAGATACTAACTAAATGCACAGTAGGCTGCACTAATGTGCAGTAGCAAAAGCACACTTTTTTTTAGTGATGCTTAATGCGCGGTAACCTAATTTTACTGCACATTAGTCTGGTAGCATGATTTTTGCCATGATGCTCTAATGTGCAGTAAGATAGGCTACTGCACATTAAAGCACATGTGTAGACATGTCCAGTGTCTGCTTATCATAATTTTATTGTAAATCAGTTTTTGTAGGGACATGTGTAGTCAATTTTTAATTTGTTGTTGTTTACAGTAAATAAGTACTCACGATTGTATATTTTTCCTTACAGAGTCACATCAGTGAGACAGAAGGAGAAATGAAACTTGTGGAGGAAATGTTTCCTACTTATAAAAATTACACTGATTTATATGACAAAAACAAGCTACTTACAAGCAAGGTAGTGTTAAGGAACCCTCCATAGCTTAAGTTATGAGATTTTTCAATACAGAAAAAATAATGGTGACTTGTATTTGCCACCTACATGCTTGAAAAAGAAATCTATTGCTGTACAGTCAAGAAGATGCAGTAATATCTGAGAGATGATGGAAACATGAATTGCTATAATGCAATTATGTTAATGGAAAATAAAAGCATTGGAACTTGTGATATACTGGAACTCTGCTCAGTGCTCTTTGACAAGAAAGGAAGGATAAAGACTGGGTCTGGCTTTTAACAGCCCAGTTGAAAACTGGGAATAGCAAGGGGACAAGAGCAAACTATGTAGAATCACTTAGGCAGCACTGAAGCCACAGGGAAGTTTCCAGGCACCTAGTATTCAGCTTTCCTGCCCCTTTGCACTGCTTGAGAGTTTGACCTAGTGACTGGTGTATGATTAAATTAATTTTAAAATGTTGTAGGTGGTGCAGACAGATTTATTTTTGGGCGAGTAGCAGATGTGCTATTTCACGATGCATGCATGTCAATATAAAAAGTATTAAAAAAAAAGAGTGGTAATATAAAAACTCTAGGTTTTCACACATGTGAGCTGTGCAGTGTTCCTTAAAATATACTTTAGGGCTGCTGTATCAGTTGTTGCCATATCAGTGAATACAGTTGTACTATTTAGTGGCAATATCAGATTTTTATTAGCAGAAACATTTTTAGGGAGGAATATACATTATATGCATTACTTAATTTTAAAATCAGTTTGAAAATGTTAGGGAGAGATTTTTTTCAAAGGCATAACGGGCAATTAGAGAGTGAATGGGACTAAACCTCCATTTTAAAATCTTCCACACATTTAAAAAATGCATCTTTTTTGGCCGATCAATATAAATGATATGTTTATATATGATGTTCTAAAACAGCAATATGACTATTATACACTTGTATACCCAAAATTATGCCAAACACTTTTTCAAAAATACCCCGGTTATTTGGGGAAAGGAAGAGGTATTTATCTTTTGATATATCCGGCTGCTTATCTAAGAGTAATAGGTTTATATCCCCCTAAACAACATGATCCTATGCCTGTTAGGCTTTGTATGTCTTGTATGCTGAAAACTTATACAAGTCCAATGACTGAAAAAAGAAACATCATTCTTACAATTAATTTCCACAGCAGTGGTATTCACCCCCAGGCTCCAGAACTGCCCAGCTAGCATGCTCAGAGCTCATGGTACACATGGAGCTTCTAGCTGGAGCTGTGCTGACATGCCAGTGACCTCAAAATAATTAATGCACGTATGCAGGGGTTTAGATTGTAGCCGTGTTGGTCTAAGGACATAGGCAAACAAGGTTCCTTGGGTGAATTTGATATCTTTTATTAGACCAACCCAAATGGTTGGAGAATAGTTATTAAGCAAGCTTTCGGGTTCAAAAACCCTTCGTCAGGCTAAGGAAGCTTCAGCAGTTGGTGTGTGCTCTTCCTGGATGGAATGAAAAGTAAAGAAGCCAGGGGCTGGGCTGGGCTGGGCTGGGGAGTCAGTTGCCAGGCAGATTATAATGTATCAAAAATCCAATGTCTATGTTTAGTCCATGATCTCTAGTATCCAGCAGGTTGATGAAATGGAGCTCATAGGCTCGTCTCTGGGAAGTGTTGTGTAAGTTTCCCTTGAGGATCAGGACTGAGAGATTGGAGAGAGAGTGGCCCTCCTGTGAGAAATGTGCCCCCACCGGTAATTGGGTGTTTCTGTCTTTGATGGATTTCCGGTGTGCGTTCATTCTGGTGCGCAGTTGTTGTCTGGTCTCTCCTACATATCTTCCATCAGGGCATTTGGTGCATTGGATGAGGTATACTACATTCCTGGAGATGCAGCTGTAAGATCCTGGGATGCTGATGGCTCTGTTGTGGGGTGTAGGAATAGTGGGGTTGGTGGAGATGTGTTGGCAGGTTTTGCATTTCTTGTCCTGGCACGATC